AGATCTGGAAGCTGCCAATACCACCAAAGGCCAGAATGTTCCTATGGCGCTTTCTACATAACATACTACCTACGGGGAAGAACATTGAATCCAGGAAGTGGGAAGCAGTAGTGGAGTGCCCCTTCTGTAACCTAGTGGAAACGCAAAAGCACATATTCAGGGAATGCTCATGGGTGAGAAGGCTTTGGGCTCACACAGATTTCACGCCCCTGTTCGAGAAAGGGGAAGAGTTATCATGCACAGCGTGGTTTTGTGAATTATCAGAGATCATCGAGGAGGACAGGCTTGCAAAACTGGCTACGATTCTTTGGAATATCTGGAACGAGAGGAACAATCACTTGTTCAATAAGAATAAGGCGGAGGAGTGGGAGATTGTAGGTAGGGCTTTATCCTATCTAGAGGAATACCAAGAAGTCACACAGAAGGAGGAAGGGAGGGGAGAAATTGTACATGAGAAATGGCAGAAACCTCCGGCGGGCTGGGTAAAAATCAATGTCGACGCAACAATTTTTGCAGGGGAGGGCACAGGGGCGGGCCTGGTGGTGCGCGACTGGAATGGCATGTGTCTGCTAACAGGGGTTCGCCGGGATCGCCGCCAGTGGAGACCGGAAATCGCAGAGCTTCAGGCAATCAGCTTCGCGTTGGAGGTGGTGGAAATAAAGGGCTATGAGGCGGTGGAGATTGAATCGGACTGTTTGGAAGCAGTCTCGAAGATAAGGAGAGAGAGCTCGGCGTTGACAGAGGAAGGAGGCCTATGTGAGGAGATAAGGGCTAAAGCCCATTTTTTGGGCCAAATCAGGTGGTGTTTTGCCAAAAGAGGTTGTAACATTGCAGCCCATCAGGTAGCCCATATAGACTGTAATTGGGACTCCCAAGAGCTATGGGAAGACAGGCCTCCCAATTTTATTTTACTGCAACTGAATGCGGATTGTAACGCTTCGATGCCGTCATAATTAATAAAATCATGTGTTTGATAAAAATAAAAAAAGATGCTATGAGGCAACCGGGAAACTGTCTTAAATTGGCTTAAGTATGGGGACGAGTTCGGAAATCCTACTTTGAGTCCTTATTCGTGCTGGAGGAAGAAGAGTCAAAGCAAGAGGGCTTCGGTACATGAGAGTGCACACTTTTGTCTACAACCTAAAGTAATTGGATGAGCAAGGGCATACCCCAAAGACTTTGAACGAACGTGTTTAAAATCGTATGAAGTCTAGCAAAATTGTCATGCAATTCAAGTAAATTGTTTCCTGATTGGATTAGGATTTCTACTCTTTATTTTTTTTAGTTTGTTTTCCGAATTCCTTTGAGTTTGGTCATCATTATAGAGATTGTAGCTTAGTTTAGTTCTATTTAAATTATTATGTTTGCATTGTAACCACAAATTTCGTTGATTGAATGCAAAAATTGTGAGTTTGGTTAATAGATCTAAACGTGAGAAACATGCTTCCAAAGTAGGCTTCGTGAAACAAAATAAACACTTAACCAAATTTGAGGTTTCTTGCTAGTTGGTGGAATTGCTTCTGGCACAAGCAATGAAAACTTGTAGAATGATCCAATTGGGATCATATCAGATGGCTTTTAGCAGATTTCTAATTCTAGAGAGAGAAGTTGAAGTAAGTAGAAGAAGTGGAGACTCCTGTTCATAGTTTGGCCCATCCCAACAATAGGAACAACACGCAACCAACAAAAGAGTGCACACTCTGTTGAGACTCCCACAAAGCAACATGGCGCGTAGTCAACGAGAAAATAGATTCTTTATTATTATTATTGACTAATTGTAAACTGATTTCATTAGCCTAGGCGGCAATTTTTGTGTAAGTTTATATGAACCATCTTTGAATTGGATAACTTCATCAAAATCAGAGGAGTGCTTCTCATTGGAACTTCCTTTATCGACTTTGGGATGCTCCTCGATGATTTGAACATCTTATAGGAGTTTCTTTGTCACTTGGTCTTTGACGGTGGCATTGATGCTTGTAGGAAGGTCTTACTTGATATGTCGTCTTGCATCAGTAGTTTGCTTCATTTCCTTCAAGGTAGGGCGAAGTCCCATTCTCTTTAGTATCCTCACTTCTTCTAGATCTGTATCCTTGCTCATGGATTTGTCACGAATCCTTTGTATATACGGATGAAGTGGGGGAGGATCGATTTTGCATGCTTCAACCATTGATGCTTTTGAACCCATCTTTCTTCCTTATTTTTGGTAGCACGTCCTTGGATAGATTTTTATAGCTTCCTCAAGTGCAAATCTTGCAAAACAAAACTAACTAGAGCGTAATTGTTTCTTTTCATGAAATGAAAATCGAACTCCGGTGTCAAAATACTATCATCTAGTCCACAACTTGACTTTCCGGTGTCAGAATCCGTCTATGTTTGAGCCCATGAGCTTGTATCCTCGACCTATTTTTAATCCTTTGAGTCCCTTGGTGATCCATATTCGTCTTGGGTGCATTATATCTTTGAAAAACACAAAACAACACGAAGAAAGCTCCAAATAGTAAAAATTCACACTCAAGGTCTATCATAAGGTCATTTTCCAAATAGTTATGAATTCCATATGAAATATAATCAAAACTACAAAAGATGCATTGATGGAAGGGGAAAATATATCAAATATTGGAGGGATAAACACTATAAATAAAGTGTCATCAACGACCCCTTTTTACCTACTTTTTCACAATAGCTATGAAAATTCTGAGTTGTATACTCACTAAAGCTACAAATTCCAAGTTCCTTCATGTTCATCCTCTTTGCCAAAGAATAGGCTTGCCTCATCTTTGCTTTGCAGACGATCTTTTTTATTTTTACAGAAGGCACAGTGAAAGGGGTTCAGAGTGTAGAAGTGATATTGTAGCAGCTTTACTAAATATCATGGCTAAAATGTAATTCAAAAAAGAGTGAGCTTTTTTGTGCGGATATGGATGAGGAATTGAAGACCGTCTTGATCTAGCAATTTGGGATCAAGGAGGAGATCTCACTTGTCAGGCACCTAGCAGTTCCCTAATTGTAGAGAAGTTGAACCCTTGAGAATGTAGGGCCCCGGTAGAAAATGATTCTAATAAGATATTAGGGTGGCAGGCCAAACCCTGCTCATATGCTAGTAAGTTGCAGTTAGTAACCTTTGTGTTGGCTAGTGTAGCTCAGTATTGGAAGATAATTTTTCAATTGCCAAGAAGGTAATCAAAGTTGTTGAGAAGTTGTGCTTATACTTCAATGGGAGTCGGAGAAGAAGAAGGCCAAAGTAACTTGGAAACATGTAGCATTGCCTAAGATGAAGGTGAATTTAAAGACTTATTTAGCTGAAATCAGACTTATCTAGTGAAGCATCTTTGGAATGTTGTGTCTGGTCTGAAAACAATGTGGATTGCTTGGGTAATGCAATACAGTTTGAGGAATGTGAGCATATGGGAAACTAGAACTCCTAGCTCATGGATATGTGATAAAGTTTTAAAGCTTAGAGGAAGTGCGGAGAGTCATTTGATGAAGGCAGTGGAGGACCCAGGATTACTCGATAGGTGTGTCGGTCAATAAAAATAGTGAAAAATAAAAATTAACTAATTAAAATAAATTCATTTACTAAAAATAAATATATAAGATTTATTCATAAAATTTATAATTTAACTGATTTTTACAGCGAAACACGACAACTTTTCATATTATTAAAGGTTCTAAATTATATTTGTCACTTATATTGCAAATTAAACCCTTTTTATGTGCATAACTAAACAATTATTTATAAATTGGTCACTCTACTATAAGCAAAGAGCTTCGAGGCAAGTGTTTGGAGATTTTGTCCTCTCAATAAACATAAGGAAAGGAAGAAATGTGAATTAAAAAAAGTAAGAGGATAAACAGGTTTTTTAATGTAATTAAGATGGATTTTTCATTTTTTTTTTCAATAAAAAAAGGAGAAGTGATGCGATAAATATTTATGCAAATTAGTTATCTTGTAATAGAGATAAGCATATTATCGTTCCATATGGATCGGTAAAATCTTAATCGAATGATTAAAATTAAGGAAATAAAAGTAACAAAATTAATTTTCTATAATTTAGTGAAAAATAATAACTAAATCAGAAACCAAATTGAAAATTAACTTCATGAAAAATCTTTTGTCAAATGAAATAAGCTCTAGGGAAAGACAATATGTAATTCACTATCTAATTACTTGATTGAATTCGATTATTAATCAATTAATTCTCATTCAAAATTATTGATGTAATCTTTAAGCTGATTGCTTCTCTCTTAATACTTCGCATACTAAGTAGTCAATCAATTGTTTACTCTCGTACAACCAACTAATTAATTGTCTAGTCGGAAGTTCATTAACTCCTATATTTACATATTTTAATAACTTTATGACAACAAATTTCTTATAATGTAATGAAAGTGCGTCGGTTACAAATATTGAAGGTGTGTCGGAGGTCACATATTCGTATCCCGAAAAAACATACGTCTCTCACAAAAAAAATTGGTCGGCGGATGACACCCCTCTCCAATAGGTGGGTCCACCCTGGGTGAAGGGGTTACTGATGTATGTAGAACGATATATGTATAACGATAGAAATGTGATAGGGCAACTTGTATTAGCACTCACACCAGTTACCGATGTACGTAACCTAGACTATATCGATGGAATGAAAGGGGTTATTAATAAAATAAAGGCAAAATACACTTGTATAGCCAAAACTTTCGCGTTTGTGCCAATAATAGCCAAATTTGGAGAAATACCACTTGTAGCCACTTCTATCCAGTTCTTTAACGGTGTCATTTAACAGGCTGACTGGACTAACAACAATGATTGATGTGGCATATTTTATTCAAAATAATGCCAGGTGGAAAATTATTAAATTTTTATCCTTTAACTTGAATTAAATTAAATAAAAAATTAGTTAAAAATCTCCTAACCGAAGATTGAATCCGCCTCATCTTCCCACCCCTCTCCTTTTCTTCCTCCTAACCTACGTTGCCTTCGCCAAAATCACTTCATCTCACCCCATCTATCCTGCACTCAACTCTCCTCTTCTCACCCAAAAGCCAAAACCCCCAAATCTCCTCGTCGTCCCACTTCCGCGACTAGAGGACGGCGTTCCTAGCTGGAAGAAGAGTGGACATGGGGACTCCAGGTACTCCTCGACGAGGTGGCGACATTTCTGGTGGTGATTGACACCTTCGACGCGATAGCACCAGCGGAGCCTCTCCCTCAGAATCTTGGCCTTCTCAATGGCGATCCACTTCTCCCTCCCGATGTGCTCCCTCATCTCGAGCATCGCCACAGGATCCTTGTACGGATTGGATGGATCGAAGTCATCCAGCGGCGATTCCTCAAAACTCGGCGACGCCCTTCTTCCTCCCCATGGTCTTTTTGCCTTTCAGTCGAACAGGATGGTGGAAGAAGTGAAGTTTGGGGGAAATTGAATTTGGTTTAGGGTCTCTAGGTGGTTGAATCTGATTTTGGTTCGATTGGGTTTGTGAATTAGGATTTGGGTTGCATATTAGTGGTTTTAGGATAAATTTTGGAGCGTCATTCATGGTGGTCGGCTTTTTCCATACATGCAATTTGGTGGCGACGGCGGTGACTATGATTGAAGCTGGGATCGTAGCTGGTCGGTGAAAAAGAGGAGATGAAGATGGAACGAAGGAGGCAGCGACGTCCCACCCAATTCCCTCGATCCGCCACCCGATCAGAAACCTAGATTCCATAAGTCGCCGCTGCTTCTGGGTCATCTCTCCATTCGTGCCGTCGCCGTTGATTTTGTGGAAGAACCCTAAAATCAATTTTGGGGAAAGTCGGGGAAAATGGGTCGCAAATGGGGTATAGGAGGGTGAATTTTTTTAATTTATGATTTGTAAATATTAATAATTGAAATATCCGATGTGTCATTATTTGCTTATGTGGCGCTGATATGTTCACTGAGTTGGCGCTTAGTCATCAAACTGTCAAATAAGTTAACAGTGAAAATAACACCGTTAAAGTATATAACGGAAATGGCTATATTTGTTATAAACAACTTTAAAAGTGGCTTATAAGTGATATTTTTTCAAATTTGACTATTGACACAAACCTGAAAGTTTTTACTATACAAATGTATTTTGCCTAAAATAAATAAAAACAAACTCCTCATTCTTCCCAAACTCATAACAAGAACACTCTCTCCTTCTCTTTTTGTACTCTCTTTGTCACCTTGCCTATACACACAACTCAACCAACATCGAGCACTAACGGTCACCAGAGAATTGTATGACTAATTAAAAGGCAAAATTATAAAATAAAATAAAGAAACTAACATAATTCCCGTAATTCAGTTTGTTCAGAAACAATTAATTAACGAGAAATTGAGAAACATTACAAGATTAATCAACTCCCTTGAAGCTTTTTCTTGGCAGTCTCAGCCTCATCCGCAGCTTCAACCTGCATCTTGGAAGACTCCAGTTCCGCCGCCGTCGCCTCCTCCTCGCTATTCGCGGTCAACTTCTTTGCCTTCGTTTAACCAGCAAACCAAACATCTTGCATTTCAGTTTCTCTATTGCGTACTCAAAAATCGCAGGCAGGCACCTTAGCACATAATAAGTATATAGAAGATACCTGGCCCACGAAGAAAGCCTTGATGTAGCGAAAACCTTCCTGCACCGACACCGCCAACCACATGCAGTCCTTCATCAGCCCCGCCGGAGCAAGGGACACCTCTAATTCCCTTGTTCCATTCGCATCGGCGGCAGCAGCAACCGCTGGTGGCGATGGCGAACGTGATGATGAGGAAGCCATGATGCATCCCGCAACCAAACTTAACAATTTCCACGTTGAAAAAGATCTAGTACATCAATCATTGATACTTGAGACCTCAGACTAACTACACGTGTCACCATGTGGCTGTTCCAGAACCCTCAACGTGCAACTCTTAGAAAGTGACACATGTATCCGGACTGAGAGGGTTTTTGGTCCAAATACAAGCTTTTGGATGGGGGGAAAAAAACAAAGAATGTAATTTAGTTGTGGGTTTTCTTGCTTAAAGCGTTTTTAGTGGCTCATCCAAATTTTGTCAGTTTTTTTTTTTTTTTTTTTTTACTCACCAAATTTTGTCAGTTAATGAAAGGTTAGTGGTTAATATCTACTAGATATATAATGGAGATTCATATCTAAGATTTGCTCCATTTTGAAAATTCTGGCTTGAGAGTGTTTCCCGGAAGGGCATTGATGACATTTCCAAGTTTCTAAATGATACTCTGCGTTTTGTTTCACTTAGCCAAAGCCTGGCCCCATAACTGCGTGAGTGGGCCTTTTTTATCCTCCCATTTGGACCTCCTTTAATATCTGTATTTATAAAGCCTTAAATTTAAAGGTTACATCATTGATTGGAACGCTTCGTTTCGATCTTTCCGCTCCAGTCAAACGTATCCCAATGTTTTAAGTTTTAAGTTTTAAACGACCACAACATTTCTATTATTTTATTTCACTTCTTATTTTGTTTTTTTATTGCGGTTCATTTTGTGAAGCAAACCAACCGGCCAGATCTTCTTCATCCGGTGACATCATCCACTACTCATTAATCTACCAGCATTAGTTTTTTAGTTTTTACACTGGACCCAATTTTACTTTTTTCATTTGTTATATCCCTTTATAATAATAATGTTATTATTAGGGAACTGAACCAAAACCAGCCTTTTAACTTAAGGATTTTAAAAAATAATAGGCCGGTTGGGTTCAATAATATTACTATTAACCGGTGTAGGATATTAATTTCACTAATTTTCAAGGTAGGTCGAGAAAAAGAGTTACAAGTTAATAGTCGAAAACATGATTAGCTATATTATTATAAACATTGTTGTCGGATATTACTTTCACTAAGTTTCAACGTTGCCAACTCGGTTTCAATCATTAGTCTGGTTGAGAAAATGAGTTAAGAGTTCATGGTTGAAAATTGATTTGACCCGAATATACGAAAAACTCATTATATTGTGCACAAATACATAGTATTTTATTATACGTTGAGTAAAATTAAAGGTATCGTATACATTTGGTAAGAAAATGTTATATAGACTTTGAATTAACCAGATTTTGGGCATGATATTATATCCTAACCCTTGATAAGTAAAGCCTAGGTTTTAACCATGTAAATCATAGACCCTAAACACCAAGATAGTGCACAGAATTTGTTGGATGTATTTCGATGAAAGATGACTGTCGATTATTGTTTATGATTAAATTGATCTTAGTGTATGAGATTCATAGAATTAAGACAAATTTTCATTTTTAAGGGTTAAGGTATAGTACCATGTCTCAAACTTCGGGCAACTCAAAGTCTATATATCAGTTTTCTTGCTCTATGTATGTCATACATTTAATTTTATTCAATGTACAATATAACCATCCACATATATACACATAACTGGTGTACTCCTGGATTATACCATATTCCAATTATATGATCGTTAGATGTACTTCAAAAAATAAGAATCAATGGTATTTTTTATTAACTTGATCTTCGGGTTTGAGCCTAAAGAATCGAGACATTGGTTTATCTATAACAGATAAGGGTATAGTATCATACCTCAATCTTGGTCTGAACTTGAAGTACATGACAATTTTGGCCTGAACTTTCAAATAAGACAGTTTTGTCCAAATTTGGCCTGAAATTTGGGTTGACCATTTATATTAAAGGTCAAACATTTATTTCATCTATTACTCATCATACAATGTTAAGGTGGTTGCGACGTGGCTACCACGTCATAGGGATAATATCCTATTTTTGTGTTCTTATTTTAGTCTGAAAAAAAGTTTCACATTTTTATTAAATAAATTATGTGGAAGTCACGTCGCAACCTGAATCTCTTTACGTACCCATCCTATCAATATTAAAGGTTATCTTAAATTTGGTCCAAATTTGTCAATTTCTTTCAAATTTGAACAAATCTGTATTCTTTGAAAGTTTGGGCCAAAATTATCCTTTACGTAAAGTTCATACTAAAATAGTGTATCAACCATATGACGTGGAAGTCGCATCGCAGCCACTTCATCACTGTATGGTGAATAATAAATAAAAGAAATGTTTGACTATTAAGATTAATGGTCAACATAAATTTCAGGTCAAATTTGTTCATTTCTTTCAAAACTCGGACAAAATTGTCTTATTAGAAAGTTCAGACCAAAATAAGGTATTACAACTATTACTTATGGTTAACTTACCAATCAGTCAATGGAAGTGTCAGCAACACTGACGAAAACACTCATATAACTCAAAATTGGTTACACTTTCTCGGCATCTTCAGGGATTAGCCAGCTTCCCAACGAGACGAACCTTATTCTACTATCTACTAAGAAGGATGATTTTGGACTTACCTATTAGACATCAATTAGGGTTGTAAATGATCACATTACTTTTAAGGCGACATAAGAAAACAAATGACTTTGAGAGAGAAGGAAGAAATACTTCGATGCTTTTACAAAAAAAAAAAAATACTTCAATGTCAAGAGCAACCCGACCAGCGTGCCGGGCCCTGTGCTAGTATTGTTAAGGGTTAGTGGGATAATATTAAAATATGATTAATATAATTAATGTTTACCTGACTCTCTTTTGGTGGCTTTCTTCATAATCCTCTCTCCATTGTAATTAAATGAAAATAAGTTTTTGGCTCAACGAGTTGGCCAAAATATTTAAAGTCATCGACTTGTGAAACAAGAGAGTATATATTTCAAAGAGTTGTATATTCATAACATTAATAAAGTGGTAATATATTATTTAAAAATTACTAAACATACTTATCAAATTTGAGACAAAATATTACAACACCTCTTTTTTTAATTCAATATATAGATCCAGAAGAAAATAACAAATTTAAATAGTTCATTCAAAAAATTTGTTAAAATTTTTATATAAAATTGAAAGAACTGGGATCTACGTGTGCGATTAGGGATCTGGATCAATGTTCGAACTGGGGATTTAGGTGAGGGAGAATAGGGATTTGGGTGAGAAAGAAGCAGAAGTCGGTCTCCGGGAAGGAGGTGGCCGACGGCTAGGTGAGAGAGAGAGTTCGGCCAGGTGAGATAGAATTAGGCTTTAGGGAATAATAGTTGTGTTATTGCTTGCCTCTTAACCTACTCCTAACACAATATATATATTATCCGAAGAATTCCCTCTAACTACCCAAATAATAACCTAACCGAATTAACCCCAATAGTCCCGAATAATTATAATAATAATGAACGACAAATAAACCCCTACATAACATGTTTCTGACATTCCATCCCCCTTGAAACCCACCTTGCCCTCAAGGTGGGCCTTCTTTCTTCTCTTCCTTCTGGTTCTCGCCCTCTCCTGCCTCCATTTCTTCTCCTTCGTCCTCCCAGTTTCCGATTAGCAGCATCAGATTCCCCTTAGCGCACTGGTGGCCCACGGTATACCTCTCATCGCAATTGAAATAGCAATCATCCCTGCGCTTCTGATCCATCTCTGCCTGAGTCAGCCTCAGTGCCTCACGAACCCCCGCGGTGGAAGCTTAGCTGGGAATCGACTTCCCGCTGCACCCCCGGCCGCTGCAGGACTGGGAGCCGCCGCCGGTGGTGATGCCGCGACTGCCCGGTTCCACTACCGACCCCTGGGCCTTCGCTGGCCCTCTGTATCCTCCCGACCGACGACCTCCAGCTAGCCAGTTCCTCCTCCTTGCGCCCTACTAGCCTAAAAGCCACCCGCAGAGAGTCGGGCTCGAAGACCTTAACTGCCGCGGCGAGTTCCGGCCTTAGCCCTGCCATGCAGAGTCCCACCAAGGTCTCCTCCGTCATTTACCTACACTGATTCCCGAGCTTCAGGAATTCGGCTCGATACTCAGATACCGTGCCGGTCTGCTTCAACTTAGCTAACTGCTTAGGCGCCCACCCCTCTGCTCTTTCAAACTAGTATCGAAGCTCCTCCTGAAACCTGGGCCAGGAGATATTCTCTCTAGCCGCCATGTAGGCTCTCTCCGTCCATTCCCACCATTGGAGGGCATCTCCCTCCAAATAGAAGGATGCCAGGTGCGCCTTCCGTTCTTCCCTAGTAGGGTGGTTCTTGAACCACCTCTCCGCCGCATATAACCACAACCCCACATCGCCATTACCGTCATACTTCGGGAACTCGATAACCGGTGGCTTAGCTCTGAACACCAGCTACTGATCATAGTCATAGAGAGGGTTATAGTACCCATACCTGCCCCCATCCGATGACAGCGGCCGGCCTGACGCATGTAGTAGTCCGCCTCTTCTTCCTGTCGACGAGAATAGGCCCAGTCGCCATTTCCCTCTGGTAGTCCTCCTCGTGTTTGGGCTTGGTCCCAGAGCCTTGCCCTTCTTCCATTCCACGCCCATTGCGCCCTTGATCCGCGCACGGGTTCCCCATGGGGGAAATCCCCTTTCGGGTCCGCCGTGATCGTTCCCGGTTGCTCCACCCGCTCCGCCCCAGTGCTGCCCGGTGGGGCCCTTCCAGACTCCACCCGATTTGGTTCAGTTCGACCCGGATTGGTTTGACTGACTCCGGTTTGACTCGGTCTGGTTCTCCCCAAGTTGGTCCGACCCGGCCCTCGAAGTCCAACTCCTCATCTTCGCCATCACGGCCCGGCCCATCAAACTCCACCATCTTTTGCTTTCCGCGGCCTGCATAGATTTCCTGGGCCGTCGGAGCGGGCAGCAGGCCAGCCCCACTAAAGATCGGCCCGGACTGACCTTTCCGGCCTCGTCCTCCGCCGCCCTCCGCCGCCCTCCGCGCCGGACACCACCTCACCCGCCGCCGCGCCTCCCGCGCCGGCAGCCGCCCGGGCTCGCCACTGCTGCGCTGCCCGCGCCAGCCGCCGTGGCGACCGCCGCAGCCCCCGCCGGTTCAGCCCCCTGTCGTCGCGCCAGCTCCCAGCACCGCCTCGGCCACCATCTTCACCGCCGCGGGGCGGTCCCCAGGGTTTGGCTCACGGCTCTGCAGAACGCCGCTCAGAACCTCCTTCATCGTGTCCGCGATGGCTCGGCACAGCTTGTCCGTCACTGTCTTGCTCATCTCTTCAATTGAGACCGCAATCTGACCGCCTAGGGCTTCGATGGCGCCGATCGAGCCCCACGATGCTGCTGCTGCCCTTTCCGTCGACTCCGTGAGAGTTTCCAGCGTTGTGACGATCACGTCATACTTGTTTGTTGTGATATCCTTCACGGTGACGACCTCCTTGGTCGTTTTCTGCTGCCGCGGTTTATCTGCCGGGTTCGACATCTTCCTTGCTCAAGAACCTTTGCAGAAATCGACACACCAGCCAGGCTCTGATACCACTGAAAGAACTGGGATGTAGGTGTGCGATTAGGGATCTGGATCAATGTGCGAATTGGGGATTTAGGTGAGGGAGAATAGGGATTTGGGTAAGAAAGAAGCAGAAGTGGATCTCCGGGAAGGAGGTGGCTGATGGCTAGGTGAGAGAGAGAGAGAGAGAGAGAGTTCGGCCAGGTGAGAGAGAATTAGGTTTTAGGGAATAATAGTTGTGTTATTGCTTGCCTCTTAACCTACTCCTAACACAATATATATATTATCCGAAGAATTCCCTCTAACTACCCAAATAATTAACCTAACCGAATAGACCCCAATAGTCCCGAATAATAATAATAATAATAATGAACGACAAATAAACCCCTACATAACATGTTTCTGACAAAAATTCTATAAATTATTTTTGTATTTTAAATTTTACTTATAAAATAAAAAAATAAAAGTACATGTATTCTCCTCCCACTTGACATCCTAGCACTCCGCCCTACTGTCTTAGTATTTCTCATCATCTTCCCATTTTTTCTAGCCATCGACAGTCAATTCTTCGTTCCATTCCACCAAAAGGATATCGTCTACACTGTTAGTGTGTGGTATATGATCCACGATTGAACCTCTCCCAACAACTTGAGTTATTGGGATCAACTGGTTCTTGACATGGTATCAGAGCCTTCTATGATCAAGAGGTCTTGTGTTCGATTCTCGGTGACCCACATTTGTTAAGCACATGGTATTCGGAACTGTGCAAATTTCAAGTCCTTGTGAGCGGCTTCGTTTGAGGGGGCACGTTAATATGTGGTATATGATCCACGATTGAACCTCTCCCAACAACTTGAGTTATTGGGATCAACTGGTTCTTGACATACACAAATCCAAGATTCTGATACATAATATTATTCTACCAATCCAAACAATCTCTAAATCAGTGCGACCTCAATTATCTCATCAAATCTATATTTTCCAATCTAGTTATGAGCCCTTAATCTAATTGATTGCACATCACATATAAAGAGCTTAAATTATAAAAAGTCTTAGTCGATAAGTGGTGATTGGCAGATAATCCATCTACTAATCTGAGCCCTACTGAGAGCTTGTACTATCGTCAATATACTTCGTTCTTACTCTCACCTGTCATATAGATGCCTCTCTGGTGAAACAACCACTCGTTGTCTTTCGGTCGAATATATTAATTCGCGAAAATTTTTGGAATTCCTCTATGTTCGTATTTTGTGTGCTAAAGCAGGAGGATCAACTCATGCCCTCCAAATGTGCGGCTTAAGGATTACTTAATATTAGATAATGTGTAAATAATGTTAATAGAAATGAAAAGAGTTTAAACCATACAAATATTCACATTCAGATAAATAAGTCTCTACCCGTTCCTTACGTCAATGTAAAAGACTATAAATGCACTCATTAAACTTCAACCAACATCCACTAATAGCACTAATAATAATTATACTTCTTGTTACACTTGATAAGCAAAAGCCTGATTTGACCGATAATCTAATAAATCAGGTCACAAAAAAAAGCTCAATTGCTCACTCCTGACCTAACCAACCAAATAAGCTATAACATGCACCTAGGCATGGGAATAACGCGCTCAACGACTATTCCAATGTAACAAATGTCCACACTGGAAAGAAGAAGCTACTAAACCGCAGGGCCACATGCTAGTCTGGGTCGTTGGATAAATGCTTAGACATTTTAAGTAATAACGAACACTGAGACCACTTAAAAGGATATACAAAGTGCCATAAAAAGATATGCACTGAACCTAGAGGTGGTAATCAGTCGGTTACCGGTTTAACCGGTTAATGACTGACCGGTTACCGGTATACCATTTAAGGGCAGATGGAATCTGAATACCAGTACCGCTTTATAACCAGTTAACCGGTAAATCAGATAGCCAGTTAACGATTACAAACCGGTTATACCGATTAACCGCATAGGAGAGGGAAAAACATATTTCCCTTTTGCCCTATCTGTTGCTGATCGACTTCACTAGGCGGGCTGCTGGTGGTCGGCTGCTCTGCACCTGCTACTCGACTTTGAGGAGCTCGGAAGCTCTGTTCTCTTCCACAAAGACAAAGCAAAGGGAATTCAATCAGAGAGAAAAAAAAACGATCAAGATAGAGAGGAGGAGGAGAGGAATAGGAGTGGCATGGAATTCAAACATAAATCATTCATACTTACAGAGCGGCGGTGAATACTGGGGAAGACGAAGACAAGCTTCGTCGCCAGCGATTGGGGAAGAGGAAGTCGAGCTTCGTGCCTTCGTCGGGCCTTCTGATTCCTCCCCTTTTCCCGTAATTGCCGGTATGTTCCCCTCCGTGCAAGTCTGACTTTTAAATCCATTTCTCTGTCATTCAATTTCTCATCTTTCCTTTTATAGTTTCCTCTCATCTACTTGCTTCAACCCGATCATTACCTCACTCTATTTCTTTGCCTGATTTTGCCTTCATTCCCTTTGTTTTTTATTTTCACATCTCGGGGGTTCAATCTCTCTAGCCTTTCTCAATCTAAGTTTGGGATATCTAATAGCTAAATTTGGTAGCGACCTCAAGAGGCCACTGCCGGCAAGGGAGTTGAGAAGGGAGGCTCTTTTTTGTTGGATTGGGTATGTTTGGCGAAGGCGAAGCTAGGGATTACAACAATTCGGGTTTTTGGGTCCCCGACGAAGCTATAGTTTTAGCGAAGGGATGGCGACTGCCTCGAGGACGATGATGGCGATGCGGGAGTTGAGAAGGGAGGCTCTGATTCACTGGGTTGGGTTCGTTTGTCAAAGGCGAAGCGGCAAAGGCTGGTCTGGCATCTGGGAACTGGGAAGGCGAATGTCCGATAGATTTTCTTCTCCACCAACTCTGTGTTTTGCGTCACAAGTGAAGGTATCCTGTTTAACCGGAATACCACTGTTATACCGAAGCCTCCTATACCGCTGCCGACAACCGAGTTTCCCGATTAACAGTATAACCGATAACCGGTTAAACCATTAACCGGGAAACCGATTGGCAGTCTGCAAACTATTATTAAATGCACTCAGAGCGCTCACACATGACTCAATTACTCGAACATAGCATTAATGATTTAAACTTGATTTTCCTAATTGGGGAAATGTCTTCAACTTATCTCTCCATGTGCTTTTCTTGATTACCTACGTTGGGTTTGCATGAGATGGTTGTGAATTTGAGCTGTTTGGCATGTGTAGTGTAGATGAATAATTTAGGATCCCGGTTGGTGATTGAGGGGACCATCCCCTGCCAGTTGGGATGCCCACCTAGGTAATGCAGGGTGATGCATGCGTGACAATCAACATGTCCAACTAGTGTGCTGATAGGTGTAACCTACTGAAACGGTCTATACCGTATATCTAGTATTATGAACCTGATCGAGTTGACATTGGGAAGCAGATCGTATTAGGAGGGTGGCTAGTTGCATGACCAATGAGCTAGTCCCCACATTAGTGAGTCCTGCACTTCATTTCCCACAAACTGACAATTTTATCCTTTTGCATGATAGGCCTAATATCTAAGGCGAGGGTGATGCCCCGAGTACCTCCTTTGAACTCTGCTTCATGGCCAATTATTTCCATTTTTTCTCCAAAACAAACCTAAATCCGATCGACTAGATAACGAACGAATGAAAGGTAGCCTAGGATATCAAAACCCGTGGAATACGACCTCCATCGACCACTACAATGACAATGACATCTTGAGTTAAACTTGGCTAAAGATGGGATTGTTAGTTCAAGCAGTGCAACCGAATTAATAACTCGCACGAGGTTGCCACCAAGTTTTTGGCGCCGTTGCCGCAATTTTGATAACTAGTTGAAAATCGTTGAGTTGTTAGTTTAGTCTTACTTTAATGCTCATATTTATTTAGTAGTTTTATCTTGTTTTGTTTATTTCTCACACATTGTACGTCACGGGTGTTTGAGTTTATGTTTTGAAGTTTGTGTATATGCGAAGGAGAGACTCTCTTGAACCGGTACCACTTTATAATGAGATTGAGAGGACACTTGGAGGACTTAAAAGAACCGCAATACTGCAAACTCAACCAATGGCGGAACAAGCGCAACAACAACAACTAAGGCCAATGACGATGGGGTCTTTCTCTAGAGCAAGTGTAGAAAATGTGTAATCTTCGATTCTTCACCCAACATCCACAACAAATAGGGTTGGAAATTGGTACGGTATTGATATCCAGATACCAAATACCGAAATCTCAAATAAAAAATTACACCCTAAAATTAATCCCAGTCTTTAATAAATTCGGTATCCCAATCCCTAAATATTTCAGTATCCCAATCGTTATTTGAAATTAGTAATTAAATATATAAATTAAAGTATGTAATCTAGTTTTCAGGCAAAGACACTAAGTAAAAGGTTTTGAGTTCGTTTAGAGCTAGGACATGGATAAGGAGAAGGGAGGAGATGGTGACATTTCAATTTCTTATCATTTGTAAAATCTAATTTGACTGATTGTAGGGCAAGAGATGACTAATGAGAGTGTATGCTTTTTGGTGTTATGAAAATAACAAGAGATTGAGTGAAAGACAAGTGACTTAAGTTAGAAAATCAAAATCGGGTTGGATGGGGCTTGTGAGTTGTCAAAGAGTGAAAAATGGCCAACGATTGTGTGCTATACTTCATTCAATTTTAATTATTCGGTTTTTATTGGTATTTCGGTATAATACCGATCCCAATCCTGTAATCACAAATACGTACCAAATAAAACTCGAAAATGAATCCCAATCCCAATCTCAATCCCTAAAAAATAAATCGGTATTCCATAATACCAAATAGTGATAAATTTGGTACGGTATTCGGCATATCCAAAATACAGGTACCAAACTTCCAGCCCTACCAACAACAACTATGAAATCAAGTCGAGGACTATATTTATGCTTCAGAACACGGCTCAGGTTCATGGATTGATGAGTGAAGATGCACATGCTCACATCAAGTCGTTCTATAAGCTTATGGATGGTATCAAGGTTAATGGAGTCCCTCAAGAGGCGATTCGACTAAGCCTTTTCCCATTCACATTGAGTGGGGCAGTGAAGGAATGGTTTAACAATCGTCCTCATCATTCAATCACTTCTTGGGCGGACCTATGTGATAAGTTCCTCGCTAGATATATTCCACCCTCAAAGACGGCGTTAATGCGGGGTGAGATCCAAATCTTCAAACAAGAGGAAGATGAGCCCCTATTTGAAGCATGGGAGAGTTCAGTTCACTTCTTCTTAAGTGTCATCACCATGGTATAGCCTGTTGGTTACAAGTAGAAAGCTTCTATAATAGGCTAACTCGTGAATCCCACAACTTGATTGATGCCGCTAGTGGGCGAGCCATTCAAAACGTGGAAGTAGGTTAAATGCAAAAGATAATAGAAGAAATGGATCTCAATAGCTTTGATTGGGGTAACGGAAGGTGAGGAAGGAATGTAAAGAAGAGAAATGTGCTCCAAGTGGAAGAACCATCCTCATTGGCGGCCCATTTACAAGATTAACAAAGAAGATTGACCTCATTGCATCGGCCTTGAAGGGTAATAGCAAACAATTGATGAAGTGTGATTAGTGCGGTGATGTCAATCACCACTTGGAAGATTGCAAAGCAATGGTAGATGCCTCAATTCAACATGAGCAAGCAAATTTTGTGAGAGGCCAACAAAATGGCAACAATCCTTATAGTGAAACCTACAACCCGGGATGGAGGAATCACCCAAATTTCCTATGGTCTTCACCATCGGATAGGAAGCCTCCCGGTTTTCAAGTTGAAGCACCGATGCAAGTCTCATTCCAAAGATCAAACCAATTTTCTAGTCAAGGTGCTTACTTGAAACAAGGCCTATCTTCAGATAATTGGTTAACTAAGCTTGAAGATATGGTGGGACAATTCATCTCTACCACCACAAGGAGATTTGACAGTTTGTGGAGAAAGCTGCAAACAAGTTCTCAGACTTGGAGGCCGGTCTAAGGAATCACCAAGAAACTCTTCAAAATCTCAAACGCAATTGGGATCCATAACTAAGTCTTTAGCAGTGAGACCTTAAGGAGCTTTGCTGGGAAATACATAGCCGAACGCCAAATAAGGATGCCACGCGATGTCCCTAAGGAGCGGCCGACCACGAAAGGAGAGCCCACACCCAACGACTCGTGCTCAGGCGAGGGAAGACCAAAGAGAGACTCCTCAAGAGGAGAAGCTTGTTGAAGAAGAAACGGGAGTCCCCACCAATATCAATATTGAGAAGGAAAATCTTATGAAAATGTCACGTACCTGAATACATTCCAAAGGCCTGATTCCAAAGAGATTGTTTGATACTGATTTACATCACGAATGTGCTCAATAGAAGCAACTTAAGGTAATTGTTCCCTTCTTGGAGATGTTAATGATGAACCCCAAATATACAAAGCTATTGAAATAAATCCTCTCGAGAAAAAGGAAAATGGAAGAAATTGACATGGTTACCATGAGCGAAGTCGCTTCAATATCTATTTCTTGTGAAGGGATACATCCGAATATGAGGGATCTAGGGGTGTTTACCATCCCTTATACTTTTGGAGCGAAAACATTCTGGAATCCATTGCCCAACTTAGGTTCGAGCATCAATATAATCCCGACAAGGATTTACAAGGAGCTCAAACTTTTTCCACTCTCTCCCACAAGCAGAATAGAGCTAGATAATGGATCCATTGCCAAGCCTTGTGGTATAGTCGAGAATGTCTTATTAAGATGTGCTCACTTCATCTGTCCTGTCGACTTTGCATTGTAGGCACAGAGGGGTGTGTTGATGCACTGGTCATTCTTGGAATACCTTTCTTGACCATGGTGAGGACAATCATTGTTGTTAGCAAAAGCCACATCATATTAAGGTTTGGTGAGGAGAAAATCTGATACAAAATGAACCCTCTTTCCACCTTCCGCAATATTTTCGTTGGGAAGACATGGAGAAGGATTGCGTGCCGCTCACACCTCTACCAACACCACCTTCAATATGGTTTCCCATGATGATCCAAAGGATAAAAAAGAATGATGAGAAAAACAACTCAAGAAATCGTATGAAGAAGAATGGAGAGACTAGTTCTCCCCATGACAAGAAGATGCAAGAGTTGTTTCTCATTTCTGATCATGCCAAGTTAGAACGGAGGAAACTTCAAAAGTTTGAGCTTGAAACGAGATATCTCAAGGCCAAGATTCAAGATAAATGAAAAAGAGTGATTCTAGTATGCTAGCTTCCATTAAGGAAAAGGAAGAATCCTAGGAGTGCTATAAGCCACTCACTGAAGAAAACGTTAGGGTAAGTAAGCTTGGTTTCTACAATCATCATCAACCGTCCGAAAAGCACTTTAAGTCAATAGCCACGAATGAGGTGATCGAGAGACTTCATGATCTCCACCTTGGACTCCATCACAAGTTGATTACTACGAAGTATCAAGGGTGAAGGATGGAGCTATCACAACTTACTATCCCAATGGAAAAGAGTCTGGTGAAAAGACTTCAAAGATGAGCTAGTTGGGAGGCAACACAACATTTTTTGTTTGCGTATCTTTTCCTTTCTTTTGAATAAATTGTTGAATGTTAAAGTTTGATTAGCTTAGTTGATGATTGATGCATACCTAGACCTTGCCTTAACTCATTTACTTGTATGGATGTTGAACTTAAATGGTTGAAATCCTGAGTTGTGGTAAAAATTGATCTTTGCCTGACAGAGTCAAGATCACGATTGTGTGACAAAAGTTTACGGCCAAGATCTTTTGACCTCATACAACGATCTTGCTCATGTCTATCAAAGGGGAGGTGCAGTTTTGCCTTCATGCGCTCTCTCCCCTAAGGATTTTCAAATCTCAAAAACCATGTTGTCAAAGCTCTTTCAACCCTTTTGACCATACTTAACCTGACCTCATTTTCAAACATCATTTTTGAAGTATTGCTTACTACTTTGGATTTATATCATGTCTCCAAGAAAGCTAAGGTAGTGTTTTATCTTTTCCTACTATATATGTTCCTTAACTAAGTCAAAATGAGCTTGAGAGCAATGTGGATTTTGATACATTTTTAGGCAATGGCATGAGTTATTTTTTGCAATAGGATTGTTTTCTATGCTTTAGTGATGTCTTATGTGCATTGGGAGACTTTGGTCTGCCAATTTTTCATAACTTTTGATGTTTTATAAGTATGTCCACCAAGTGTTAGATGAAATTCCCCAATCACATAACTTGCCATTTCTTTGATCCTAAGCTCTACATTTGAACTTGTTTGGTATTGATACAACCTTGCATGTAAGATTTAGGCTTTTATGTGGAGAATGAGTATCATTTATGTGAATTTAGCCATGTCTCCCTTTCTATGTTATCTCTTTAAATACATAGATGATTGTCAAGGATACTTTGGAAAGTTCAAATGTATTTATGTGAGTGGATTGATGGTGTTTGTGTACTTATTGTGGAACACTTCTTTTGTAGGGTTTCCAACACACATAAAGGCATATGCTCCGAGGTGAGAGCTCTAACCCTCCTAGAACACTCCATTACTCAAGGAAGAAGAGGAGTAAACCTCGACAAATGGAAGTGACCTTAGAAGAATAAGAACCACATCCACAACAATAACCACCTTTGGAGCATCCTTATGACGATCAACAAGAGGATAATCAAGGGATAAGAGTAACAATGGAGCACCTAACCCATGCATTCTTAGGTGCAATTCCTGAGCAGTGCACCACCAATCTTTCATGGCTCCAAGATCTTAAACGTGTGTTATAGTAGTTCTAGGATTTCTTTTACTATGTTGATGCATTTTTTATATTCTTTCATGTGATTTCATGCCAAAGTATAGTAGTGGACCATCTTGTATGAGTGGGGAACATGAAGGCCCAAATGCTCCAAAAAAATTCAGGTCAAAACAAAGAAGATACAAGTCTACTAAACAATAGGAAAATAAATGGCTTTCTCACTCTTTAGATCCGACCTCAATTAAAAACAAAGGTCCAGTTTTATTTGTGTACTTGTACGTAACCATGAGTTATGCACCCTACTGTAGATCCTAGAAATGACTTGATCAAATAACTACACACCTAGGGCTAAACAAAAGTAAATTAAAATCAACCTACACGTCCTATCCAAACCGACCCACCCCGTAATATTCAAGAATATATAATTTTATTGGTGGGTGTGGGTTTGAATTTTTGAAAACAAAATCTTTGTGATTGGGTTTAGGTGGTTACAACATGGGTTTATCTAAACCAACACATGATTACATGATATATTTAATTTATATTCATCCACCGAAAATCTCTTACTTTAATTATAATTCATTTTTTTTTTACATAGCTAGAGTTGATAAATTGAAAGTAAATTATTTTATCAAAGTTTTTTCTTAACAGTTAATATATATACATATTTATCTTCACATATTTTCGTTATATTTAATTTTTGAGTATCCTACAATGTATTAATAAGTAAAATAGTTTAATTCTTGTATTTTTATATTATCATTCTTATATTTTTATAGTATATGAATGCAATAGAGTACTTCAATATGTACTATGATCCCCAACCTACTGTATTTTGTAGGGGTGCCACTTATAGTGTAGGCTGCTTTGTCTAGTTCACGTGCTCAAATTCCACATGTTAGAACCAGCTCACATTGCTTTTTTCAAGACAGACGATCACAATCAGGGACGGAGCCAACGTGCCCCCCCCCCCAAATTTCTAAAATCTGGTTATGCAAGATGTAGTCTAATGGTTTGGCAGTCTTTTCCCTACCCTTCAGGTTCAAGGTTCGAAAGTTTGGAGAGATGTTTTTATAGGGCTGTTGATATAGTGATATTCCAATATAAATTTAACCACAAAAGTTTCAATTTTATCCATTCTCATCCTCAAATTTTCCATGTACCTAATTTTCCCGATATTTTGGTGACAAATGTGCATTTCCCCGTTTTCTCTTGTACCCTAAATTTTCATCACCAGATTTTGCAAGTCCTACAATTTCTCATTTTGATTCATTTTTTTCCTCCTAATATTCTCAAATTTTGGCTATAATTGATAATTTTCACCTATTTTTCCTAAGCCTACAATTTGTTTTTATAGCAAATTTCGTTAGTTGTGCCTTTTTCTCCTAATAATGTCAAAATTTTGCTCAAGATTGAAGCTCTTTGCCAATTTTTCTTTCTCCATTAGTAATTTATGTTGTAAATGTATAGCATAATAAATTTTAGTCACATAGTATTTTGAATCATTTCAATAACTTTAAAGAACTCATACATGATAAAACCAAATAATTATAAGTTCTTTTTTACATTATATTATAACAACACTAAAATTTTTAATCCCCCCCCCCCTAAATGCCTAGCTCCATTCCTGCCCACAACTCTAAATCTCTCATGGCTAATCGCCCGTCGCAGGTAAGATATGAGACTCCCTGTACATTGTTGGTGACGCAAAGATCATTATCGACAAGTGCAATGATCAGGATCCTGCAGACAATAAAGTTGGTGCTCTTATCAGTGATATTTGTTTTTTGCTATATGAGTTTGCAGCTTATTCGTTCTAATAACATGGAAGCTCATTATGTGGCTCATCATGTCTTGTTGTTGTCGCCCTAATTGTTCAAGGGGTTCAACTTCGTTTCTTGACTTCGTAGTGCTTAGGGTTTTTGTTGGGTCCTTTGTAGACTTTGGAGTCGTTTGGAAATTGCGAATGTTAAATATTTGCATTGTAATAAATCACCATAATATAAATGCATGTATTGGTACAATGGATACATTTTAGGCCCTGTTCACTTCCATTTTCGTTTCCTGTTTTCTGTTTTCATGTTATAAATTTGGCAAACGAAACGAGAAAACATGTTTACTTTTCATTCTGTTTTCTATTCGTTTCCAACTCTGAAAACAGAAAGTGACAGCTTCCTACCGTTTTCGAAAACGAAAAAATGTCGTTTTCACCTGTTTTCAACATCGGTTTTCTCAAAAACAGGAAACAGAAATGAAAGTAAACAGGGCCTTAATAATACATTATTTGGTTGTTGAGATTCTACTTTCTGCATTGATTTACATAAAGTTACTTTTATAGGGAAATGTCACATTTACCCTGAACTTTTAGAATAAGACAAAAACTATTGGGGATATAAATGGAAAGAAAAAGTTGACACAAATCTAAAACCAACAATCTCAACTTTTATTTGAGATTGTATAATGCATCATTTTTTGTGATTGTTAGTGGGACCTACCTAAAACAATGCATGCATTGTTTAACACTTTGGCACTTCCAAACATTGTATTGTGCACAATACATGTATTCAACAAACACAACTCTAACAATCACAACTTCCAAACGATCCCTTGTATATTGTTCTCTTTCTCGAGTTTTGAGGATCGATTAAAAAAATAATTTGCAAGCCCGCAGCCAAACGACGTCACTCTAATAAGCGGAAAACGACAGAAAGAAGTCAGTCGTCTGAAATCAAGTCGAGTCGGTCCGTGGCCGGGAGAGAGAACGTTGTTTTCTTGAATTGAAATGGTTTCCCAGTGTTTCCATTTGTTTACTTTTTGACATTTTCTCTCTGTCTATATCAATATCCTCATATCGTTCGAAAAGAAGGATTAGGGGTTCATATTCATCTTTCGATCGCAAGACATTCTAACCTCCATTCTCAGATCATCGAAGAATTAGAGTGGGAAACGGATAAAACGATCATCCGGCAATGGGCGATCAGGTGGCTAGGGCAGATGAATTCGAGAAGAAAGCAGAGAAGAAGCTCAGCGGCTGGGGGATATTCGGTTCCAAGTTCGAAGACGCGGCCGATCTCTTTGATAAAGCCGCTAATTCCTACAAGCTTGCTAAATCCTGTAATCGCTCTCCTTCTCTGCATTCCAATAATTTTATCGCTGCTTGAATTCTCGTCGGGTTGTGTTCAGGATCCGCGTGCCTTTTGATTGATCTTCATTTTCTACATAGCTTGCTGGTAAAATGTTACTTTCCGGATGGATTGAAGGAGACAGATTCGGTGTTTGAATTTTCAATTAATGTAGGATTATGGCTCTGAATTGGGACTTCAACTATGAGGCTCGTTGTTGGATGTCTGCATTTCATTTGTCTTGTTTATGATGATTTGTGGGGAGGTGTTTCCATTAACTTGATTTCCAGAGTTGTGCTATGTTTCAACTTGTATTTAGGAGTATAACCTCATATTATTGATTCGTGCTTGACGGATGTAGGATTAGTAGTCAACCTAAAGTGAGTTTACTGTTCTAGCCGCTGAATGAGTTAAATACGTTGGGGTTCGGCCGCTTGTGTTCCATTAGATTGTTAACTATCGTATTCCTCTATCCTGCTGAACTTTGTGAAATGCTTAGCTCTGATCCGCATTTTTTTTTGTTCCGATGGTATAACCTTGTCGGATGTGATACCCTGGAGCTTTTACTATACTTGCATTAGCCTTCTCTGTCTTGTGCTCAATGCTGGAGTCACTTGGTGGAGGTCCTCTAACCTTGGTTGCTTATATGTTATGGCAGGGGATAAAGCTGGGGCTACTTATGTCAAGCTTGCTAACTGTCATCTGAAAGTAGGTATTTTAGAGCTTTCATGCGGGATTGAGGACTGGGTTTGTTTGTTGGGGAGTTTCATGCAATTACCATTTTCTGTTTGCAGTTGGACAGCAAACATGAGGCGGCGCAAGCTTATGTGGATGCTGCTCACTGCTATAAGAAAACATCCACAAGTGGTATGGAAATTTTCCTGAAATAAGATAATGTATCCTTGAAAGTCGCAACAGAGAACACAGGCTTAGGAAATTATGCTAAGTGTCGTTGAGATTATTTAGAGTAAACTTTGTCTCATTACCATTTAGATGGTTAGTTGCAGCTCCAAAGATACAGTTGCTTTATAGCTCGTGGAAACCTTTTGCTTAGCCTTGGTTCGAGTTGATTTGTTCGCCTAATCGCTTCTAGCAATGTAGGAGCTTACAAACTTTTGTTGCTGATTCGTTACATCATCACGATATGCAGAGGCAATTTCTTGCCTGGTTCAGGCAGTGGAGATGTTTTGTGACATTGGAAGGATCAGTATGGCTGCAAGATACAACAAGGTGAGATTTTCAAGTTACCCCCTGAATTTTCTGGAAGATTACTAGGTTGTTTCTTGTTCCAGTGTCATCAACTAAACCAGTTGGCCTTCCCTGTTTCAGGAAATTGCTGAGTTGTATGAATCAGAAGCAAATATAGAGAAGTCGATCGAATTTTATGAAAAAGCTGCTGATTTCTTCCAAGGCGAAGAAGTAACAACTTCTGCCAATCAATGCAAGCAGAAAGTAGCTCAGTTTGCTGCGCAATTGGAACAGTAAGGCTGCTGATTTCTCTCGACTTTCGTTCTTTTAATGTTTTTTCTCTTCATTTTCTCTGTTCAAGTTCACGTGTTTACTGAAAAATTGCAATGATGGATCACATTATGAAAGAATTGGGAAAAATTACTTTGGACTGTAGATACCCAAAGGCGATAGAGATCTATGAAGAGATTGCCCGCCATTCTCTCAGTAATAACTTGCTCAAATATGGAGTTAAAGGTCATCTTCTGAATGCTGGGATTTGCCATCTCTGCAAAGGTGATGTTGTTGCAATTACAAATGCGCTTGAGAAATATCAGGTTTGTTTTGCTTGATCGTTATTATTATATGATGTTTGGAAAAAAATGCACCCTCTTACGTGAAAAAACTATTCCACTCTTGCTCGTAGGATTTGGATCCAACATTTTCTGGGACTCGTGAATACAGATTGCTAGCGGTATGTTATATTCAAGATTACTTTCTGATGTTTAATGATTTTGCTTTCAGAAGGTTTAGTCTGCGAAATATTTAGCCTGATGCTGGTATCTTATATCTGATCTCAGTTCCCATGTTAGGAGCATGTATAACTCTCTGGTGGCCTGTTCTTTTCTATACGTATATTCAGTGTGTGCGTGTTTGGGTAATGCTGAGGTAATCCATTTTGTCAAGCCAGGATCTTGCTAGTGCCATTGACGAGGAAGACATTACAAAGTTCACTGATGTGGTCAAGGAATTTGACAGCATGACCCAACTGGTAAACTTTTCTGTAACTGTATATCCACTCGTGTCGTCGTTCTGCTCCATTTTCTTCTACCACTGAAAAAATAATTACCTTGCATGGTTGCGTTTGAATTTATATGATCTAGTAATTGCTTTTTTTTCCCCGTGATTCCTGATACTTCTTAAATAGGATTCTTGGAAGACGACCCTTCTATTGAGGGTGAAAGAGAAGCTGAAGGCGAAGGAGCTAGAGGAGGACGACCTCACTTAATTTGGGTGTCTGGCTAATGATCAATTACATGACTATAATGTACGGGTTTGGTATCCAGTCCAGGGTCGTCTATCTCCGGTCTCGTTTTGTGTACTTGCTTTGAGATTCGATTCTGAGTGGGTATGGTTTACGAGTTGTTGAAATGTGCTTTGTAATTGGTAGTAGGATATGGTTTCTGACTTGGGATTTATGAGCACAGAAATATATTGGAAGAAAAAACTCTTGTTGATTCAAAGCGTGAAGGTATAACTATCTCTTGTTGATTCAAAGCATGAAGGTATAACTATCTATGCGTGTGGAGGGGGTGCTAGATTTTCGGTTGTTTCTGTGCAAACTGCAACGCGCGTCATAGTCCACCTCTTGAAGCGGAAAGAAATACGAAGAAAAATAATTCCCCAAGTTCGTTTGCTTGGAGAATTCTAGGGATTTTAGTAATCGCTTATTCCGTTGGATTTTTGTCATAGTCGTCTCGGAAGTAGACCGCACATTGATAGTAGTGATGGCAATAGGGCGAGATGGGTGGCTAACTCAATTCCCATGTCCCGTCTCATGATATTACATGTTGGGAGTGTAAAATCCGTTTGGATACGGAGCGGGTCGGGTTGACCCACTTTTACATGTTATTTAAAAAAGATACACGCAAATTTTACATTTTAAGATAAAACAAAGGGGAAAAATACTTTACGAAAGAAAAATATTGATAATTTTATGGGTAATTAAGTATAACAAGTTCAAATATCGACTCTAACTAGTTGAATAAAAGTCAAAATAAAAGAAATATGTATAGATACCGTAAAAAAATGAGATAAAATGGGTCTAGAATTGAGCGGGGCAAGGTAGGACGGGTCAGAAGTAGATATCCATATCCCGCCCCACGCTGTTGCGGGTCGGGTAATACCTGCGGGGCAGGTTCAAATTGCCATCACTAATTGATAGCAGTTTGATTTTGAATTTATTTCCATGTCATGTTTCCATTTTATATATTTGGTAACAAAATCAGAGAAAACTTGTATACTTTTCATTCGGTCCTTATTCGTTTTCAACGTTTAAAACATAAAGTCGTAGATTCCTGTTATTTTCAGAAATGCCAAAATATTGTTTCCAACCAACTTCCAACATATATTTTCTCATATTTTCAACGAGATTTTTTCCCATCTTATCGATGAGGTGAAATATTTAAATGACATCACTCATAGTTATTTCAATATTTTAATTTTAGTTATTTATTTTTTTCTAAATTTATTATACATAGTTCTTTTCGACAATTAGGCATACTTTTATAGCTCTCTACTCTTGATCGGAATTATTAAGTCTCGAAAATCAATACAGTAACAGTTACATCGGAATAAACTATAGAGGACAACCCAAAACACAAAAAACCACAATCTGCCTACAAAGCAATAACCCATGCGCTATCAGATCGGTATCAAAATTCAAAACTACTATTGTCTAAGCTATGCAAACGAATCTCCTCCTTTATGACACGGATCAGTTCTTGACTACTACGTCCGGGTGCACCAAATACTCGCAAGCAGCGTTCCATATGTAATGTAACCCACAATCCAAAACCACACTGCTCCATACAGTTCCACCCTGAACAAGCGTTCAGATAGTGTTCAAACATTCTGCCCAAGATTGAGGCCAGCTGTTCAAAATCCCTCCAAAGAACGCAGTCTAGGTTTCAGTGTAGTAGGTCCAGCCAATGTAGTGAAAATTCCGATTTTAATTTTAAAATCTTATGATTTTACGATCTTATCTATGGGGTTCGATCTTGATTTTAATATAAAATCTTTGAACCTTAAAATCTCATAAAATCACGATTTAAAATTCTAAAATCTTTAAAATCGACGATTCCTACGATTTTGTACGATTTCAAGGTTCATGTCAATTGGAGCAAAATTAGGCCGGTCAAGTCGGATTTTCCCATGAACCGGGTCAAGTTTACTTCCCCCGAACAAACATAATGAACAACAAAATCCTAACCCGATAGACGACCCTCAATTTATTTTCATTCTCTTCCTCCTATCTTCCTCTTTCGCACGTCGACACCCAACTCCTTCTATCAACGATTTCTTTCACCCTCCTAATTAGCTTGTAGTTTATTTCCACCACACTCCCAATTATCCAAACCTCCATTCCATTGCAAGCTTTCATTCATCCCCTAATCCTTCAGCACCACTATCTCCGATCTTTTATCAATTAAGAAGGGAATGCATCAATCAATGAGTTACATTTTCCAGATGATGGTGATCAAGGAAATATGGTTAATGGTGAAAGTACTTCAAGTGATCCTGAAAATAATGATATCATTACTCAATCAAATAGACAAGGATTCTACAAGGATGAGAGTGAGGGTGAGGATGAAGATGTGTAAGGGATGTTAATGTTGATCCTAACAATCGTATGTGATTTTCTACCCTTAACTATCAATTAAGTGATTTCTATTTGATTTATGTGATGTACAAGAATAAATCTATGGATTTAGTTGTGTTTGTTTAGTAAACAAACTTATCTTGGGAAGTAATTAGGTTATCTATGGTTGATTGTTATTCAGGATATGCATTTTTACTAATATATGGTGTTTTAAGTGTTTAGTTTAATATAAACCTTAAAATCTTACAATTTTAATCTATGATTTCAATTTTACCTCAGTTTTCGATTTTATTTAAAATCACGATTTTGACTGCAATGGGTGCAGCAGAAGATAACGTGGTCTCTAGTCTCCCGCGCAACATCACATAAAACACACAAATTTGAATCAATAAGCCCCCAGTTAGAGAATTTTGTCGAGTTTTAATTCTATCAAGTATGACTAGCCATGTGAGCATACTTCGTGGTGCAGTATTTACCCCACAGTATATGGTACCATTGAACAGAAGGTTGCCACACACGAATAGATTGTCGAATAGTATGTGCAGAAAATCGGGGCATCAGCTTCCTTGCCAAATTAGAACATGCCAGCACCTGAAGTCATAAGCCGATATTGAAACCACGACGTACACTTAAGCAACTTTCTTCATATGCAAGAGCGAGCAGAATTTTCTTTTAGTTCCCCCACACTTCTCCCTTTCAATCTATATCTAGAGATTCAGGCCACCCAAAAACTACCGTGCATAAAGAGTAGCCATAAAAGCCATCTATATATAATTTTGGTTGAGCAATCTATATATAATTTTCACCTTATAGGCTATTAGAAAATAAATGAGCCAATAATTCATTTCAACTTAAAATCAATTATGGTGTGAACGTTATTTAAAAATGAATTTCTATGTTTGGAAAGTTATATTTAAATATCTACACAATTAATTGAATTGAACTTGCTAGTCATGCATGTAACACATTTATAACTGAATCTAATGAAAATCTTCCAAAATATACCCTTAGTTTAATAAATAAATTACCTAGAACATGATATGTATTCAAAGTCAATCATTGAAAGCGTGAACCAACTACATGACATGTAGTTCGAAAAGTAACAATGTTACTATTACTAAACTTATTCATAATTTAACATTGAAAATGAAGTCATTTGTAATTCTAAAAAAAATCATTTCAAAATAAATACATAAAAACATATTGAATATTCAGCTCTCATATCTCTATGTTCTTAGATATGGTTGGCCTTGTTGATCATCTTTGGGTTAGAAAATTGTAGCTTGGAGCTCCTCTAGTGGAGATATAATATTGGGGGTCTTGTTCCTTGTTCGTGGACTTTTCTTCTTAGGTGAGCTCGTTCCGCTGTTTCCCCCTTTCGTTGGTTGTTGATCTTTGTCTATTTGGAGTTTGTTCATCTTGTGATTTTCATTGAAATTTTTGGGTTGATTATGGATGATTAATGATTTCTTCTCGCTTCCAACCCTTAAAAATACTAGTTCTAAGATGTTGAATACTGGTTCTGACATGTTGGATACGACTTCCATATTAATGTTTGAGTACTAATAGTTCACAAGATGACTACTAGTTGGTTTTATGATGAATATTAGTTTCCTACCAATGCTTGAATAGTAGTTGAATACATAATGAATACTAGTTGCATTGAGTTGAATACTACTGGAATGAGTTCAACACTAGTCATAATAAGTGGAATACTAGGTGGGTGATTGATGAATACTAATAGAAAGTTGTTCAATACTACTTGGCATCATGATGATACTAGTTTACTTATATCTTGTTAAGAACTTTTGAACGATGCCTCAAGTTAAAGTAGAGGTGTTAAACCACCTGAAGAAGGATCATCCCAAATGCCACACATTTATATGAAGAACCACACTGGCAAACAATGGTTGTAAATTGTAATAGATGTTCACACTGGTTTCTAGTATTATCTACTTGTTTATTATGTGATTAATACTAGTTGAACTTGTCTATGTTATAGCCGTTGGAACTGCTTTGTTGTGGATACTAGTTCATTGAGGTTCAATAATAGTTTGCCTCTCTTGAAATTGCTTGGATGAATACTAGTTCTATGTGTATCAAATGCCAGCTGCTTTCCCTTGAATACTTGTACTTGTGTTTTCCCAGTAGAAGATTGTGGGTGCCAATATTGCTAGTTCAACTAAGCAGAAATGCTAGTCCCAACAAGTTGAATACTACTTTTACTAAGTATAATACTAGTTGTAGAAGCAGAATACTAGTTCGAACAAGTTGAATACTTGTCAAAATATTATGGGTAGACGAACTCGTATTCATAAGTGTCAAACAAGTATTCAAAACCGTCGAACTAGTATTCAAAAATTTCTAGTAAGTATTAGACTATGAGAAAGTCAAATACACTTCTAAGTGTTTAACTAGTATTCATAAATAACTTATGAACAAATATAATTACACGTAGACGAACTCATATTCATAAGGGTATCATAAGTATTCAAAAATTCCGAACTAGTATTCAAAAACTTCCGACAAGTATTATGATGTATTGGAGGTATCCATTTTTATAGAAGCTTTAATTTTTGTACTTAACCTAATTGTTGGCTCAACATTATCCGGAATGATTGGTCGTAAAGCGTCTGTAGGTGGCTTTTTATGTCCGCCGTCAAGTCACAGGGCTCAACCCTGGACAGGCAGTGGAAACTGCCAAGCTAGAGTATGATAGGGGCATAGGGAATATCAAGTGGAGGTGAAATGCCTAGAGATCGGAAAGAATATCAAAGGCGAAATCACTCTATGAGAAAGCCAAATACACATCTAACTATAATTCATAAACAATTGGGGAACAAATACTACACATAGACAAACTCGTATTCATAAGTATTCAAACCTCCGAACTAGTA